AATTAGGGCAAAAGCGTAGAGAACGGGTGTATAAGAAACAACTTCCTAAGGATTTTTAAAGAACACTTACTATCTTATAATTTTATAAGCTAAAGGGAACTGTGCAGTAACTTACAATTAGCGTGAGGAACACTTGTGAATTCTAGTCCACTTCTTGAGAAAAATTCAAAGTTCATTCAAAAATTCAAAATTCAAAGATTCCCAAAAGGTCAAAAGAATGAGCAATGATGAAGTTTCTGTCGAAACTAGCACCCTCTTTTAATATTAGTTCAACCACAATTGCAGTCCGCAAACTCAAGTAAACGCGTATTCTCTAGCCACATTGTGGACCATGGCCTAGTGGTTAGCGCATTGGACTACTATGCGGCAGGTGGCGGGTTCGATTCCGCCGCCACTGTCCTATGACGAGACTTACACGACGGTCTTCTGAAGTGCTATCTGTAGACACTATACGTGTGCTGAGGCAGTTTTGCACTAATTCTTAGCGCTTAAACGAACCTTCAACGTTGAGAAGACTGAAGCATTTGGATGTACTATTCGGGAAATCAGTTGCGGAAATGCCGTATAAAAATAGTAAGAATCGAGTTGGCGGAACGCTCGTGAAATCTCAGTGTTCATCTGAAAATGGAATCTTTTTGCAAACACTACAATTTTCCAAACAGTAGCAGGTTACCTGCGCAATATCATTATTATCGCGATGGTTCATTTCAATAGAGCGGGCGTCAGAGCCGCGGGTTTGCATCATTTCTGTCTAAAATAGTGTCAGCTAATTATTTGTCAAATTATTTGTTAGAAACACATTTTTAGAGTAAGCAGACCTTCTTCTGGCTGACATCCAACCATATTGTAAGCATTCTGGGCATGGCATGGAACAAATGATTTCGGCCAAATCGGAGAGCATTTGCATAAGATTTTAGAATATTCACCACCAAATCACTTCGAACCTGAAATGCAACCCAGGAGCTAATATGAACACAATTTTTAACAGAATTTATTCAAACAAAGTCTGGTATGTCTCCCTGTTGGAGAACAAAGCCCTTTAAAGGCAGCACCCACTCTAAAAACGCTTTCTGAGTTCTCGACGGATTCAGAAAGACGAACTCAGAAGAGGGTAGGGGTTCAAATTTCTCGACTCAAAAGTCATTCCTGACCGAGAAAATCGTCCCAGAAAACATGTGCGCGATTTCGCGGACGAGTTTTTCACTTCGTCGCGCTCTTTCTGTTGGAGCCGCCTACCGCCTCAAGTGCGTGGACATAGAAGGCTAGTGTAACTCTACTCATACCGAATGGTTGTAGCGCCTTAAGTAGTACGGAAAACA